TACAAGTTACGAACAACTACGAAGCAGCTGAATTCTGCTTCAACCAAGGGAACGGGTCCAGCCTTCCGGAGAATCCAGATGTTACCCACATCGCATCCCTTATGAAGTCCCTCAAGTCACTCTGTGAGACAGGGATCCCTTTACCATACACCACCTTGTGAGGCTTTTTCTCTCAATTTACTACTTGCACATAAAATATGAGCAAAATTAATTAATTTTAAATTACCTCATGTAACTTTACCCATACACACTCCACAACATGCACACACACACGAACACAATTCTTACCCCGTATCCAATATCGATAATAAAGGACAGAACTTCGTTAAGCAATCCTTGAAAGTAGGAAACTTTACCCCAAGCCTAGAATTCAGAGGTTGTAATGTACAATGTACTTTATTTATATAAATAAAGTCTATATTTATATAAATATCTAGTGGTTGAGCTGCTAGATCGCAACCGACTGCAATACGGCAGCCTGTCACGATACCGTATTTCGGGCGGGATAGGCTACTGTTTTTCCTATTGCAAAATTAAATTTTCAGTAAAAATAAGGAAAACGATGAGTGAGAGAAAGTTTCGTCCCATGAGGATAAGTCCTCGATTGGTAAGGAATGCGTGCGCGAAATTTCAAGCTCAATATTCCTTCGTTTGGCAGTTAGTGTACTATAAGGGCACATAGGCACCCAGGCATACAGACATACAACGAAGTGCAATTTTCTGGAATGGTCCGTGTTTTTTTCGCATGCAATATATTTCTAATCTCCGCGCAGTAAGCCTTCGTCTTACCTCATTCCGGTTTGAGTTAATCAAAAGGGACATCCATGAAATACAGGGGGCGGGAAATGTTATACATTCACGCCAACACTGCACAGATGGAGCTAATCTCTCTCCTTTTACTTTTTAATCTAGTGGACAAACCTCTTTGCCTGCAAATCAAACCTACAACCCATCACAATATTGGAAATTCCTAAACGGATCAGGGATGCCTGGAAATTGGTTCCAAAACGAGACGATGGACAATCTGGAAGGCAATCAGCACTGCCTGGCCTTTCTGGAATCGGTTGGCAAGTATGATGATTCGTCTTGCAGTCGAGGATACCAGGTGATACCGTGCCAGAAGACTCTCACAGGTAAGAAGCTTCTTGTCATTTCCGAAGCTCCAATTCATAGCAACATCTCCAACTAATGGAAGGAACTTGATGCCGTTTCTGCTCATAATTTGCCTAATTTGCCAATATTGTGCGGGACTTGGGTTCATGTTCCACCATATTATTCTATTCCATGGCACGATGAGAAACCGAATGAGGACCATGTTCGTTCTGGAAATTCACTTCCGTAGATTGTTCGATGGATCCCCCTCCGGCTCCTCAGATGTCCGATTCTTCGTTGCAAGTGGTGATGTCATATAACAATAGCGGGAAGCCAAATCCGTACGGCACGGAAGCGACGTACACATGCCCGTGTGGATATCAGTGGGAGGCAGTCTCGTTGGATGGAATAACTGTGAACCAAGCACCTTCGAGAGACACGAAAGTTCAGTGCAGGGGAATCATCGGATTTAAATACCCGTTTGCTGTTTCGAAATGCATACCATGTGAGTCTTCCACAATCTTCAAATTCATAGCGAACACGGGAATTCATCTTTTTCAAAGCCTAATTATCCCATCGGCGTACAAAATTCTGCGTGAACCAATTCTTCAGGTCTGCATAAACTTCGCGACGGCTGGTACCCGGCAAACATTCGACATGGCGATTGATTTCCAGGTCGATGAATAACGTATAGTTTATTTCCATTTTGGGCTTCAACTCTGGGGACTCTCAAGGTCAGTGTCAGGGGAAATAAAAGGTATTAAAGAGAACTTCTGTCATTTAAAGGGGAAATTTCTTCATTTGAAACATTCATTCATTCGACAGTTACATTGCTGTAGGTGTTTTAGAAGCGAGCATTCAAGGTATATTTCTTTAGCAACTATTAGGAAACTACAGCTTGCAACTTATTTTATGCAAGCGAAAAATATAAATTATTTACACATTTTTTCAGTATCTCTTCATCGGTAATCCGCACAAGAGGTTTTGAAGGGTGCCAGACTATCTTTCTCTCATGCGTTTCAGGTTTTAATGTGCAGAGATACAATGATGCAATGAAGTACATCGATAACCAAGAATCGCGGATTTGGGAAATTTAGGTCATATAGATTCGTTGCTATCGTTCCCTGGATTTTCATCTGAAAATGTAAAGCATGGGATAAATACTGGATCCTTCAGAGCATTTTCCAGCATGTGTATGCCTCTGACGTCATTGTCAGAGAAACGTGCATAATATTTCATCATAAATGTCCCTACATTCTCAGCGCGTCATTGCCATACATCTATGGAAGCCACCAAAATTGTTGTTTCGGGCTGATAGAAAGTTAGAACCTTTGTTGACCTTGAAAAAAAATACTGCCATCGATTGCAGTAACCTTTGACATGTGGATAAACATGGAAGCAGGTTGGAAATCTACTGGGCTGATCCAGAAAGAATTTGTCGTCGCATATATTTGGAAATGCTTCACCCGCACGTTGCAGGCTTTGCCTGCCTGAAGATCCTCTCAATCCTCGCATTCTCACTCACCTCTCCACCGCGTCCTGCATCGTTCTCAGGGGATAGGCCTATATTGTGCGAATTCTATTGACGACCGATAATTCAAATAAATTTGCTTGACTGGATTCTTTTCCCACGGTGAGATGGTAGTAATGTCTATTGCAGACGTAGAGGGGCGAGACCCGTTCAACTGATTTTGAAGTGCAGAGAGGAAAAACCTTGAAGATAATTATCATTCCTAGTTAGTGTCGCAGGTCCGAGGTTCACTGTCGCTATGCAAGCGCAAAAATACGATTCGACTTGCTTTCGTAAAATCGATCGTGTGGTAAAACAGCTCGAGATGGACATCCGGATCCATCCATGGATGATGGATCTACCCCATGTCTCGACCCCTCTATTCTTATTCTTGCGACTTATTTCAATACAGCTAATGAAACAAGGCTTGTGCCTTTTGCGCAAGCCCCCAGTTTCAGTTGCCCTGCTGTCAGAGTCATTAGTTAACATCTAGACTTGCGCTATCAATCTGATATATTTAAAAACGTTTTCAAAGACTTCACGATAAACCTGCTAGAATCAAAACAATATCTGCATTAGTTCCAATAATATAGTTCGCTGAAACCAGGGTGGGACTTAAAAATCGCCATGTACATTTATTATTGTGCTTGGGGAACGTATAAAGCCTCCTGAGGACTTTCCTTACAAGCCCATAGTGGCTACCTTTCGCGAAAGAAATCTGCTCAAAACGATGTACGATAAGCATTCGAGACTTAGCAGCGTGGAGAATAGTCTATTGTGCAGAAAGCTTGATATATGGAATAATTCAATGGGATAATTCATGTGATGGTGTTCATTCTTCATTTAATTTCGCTTCTGCTGCATGAATAGTCATTTGTGGACCCACAATCTTGTAAACACTTCTTCTAGTCCTTCTTACAATCTTCAAAAGCCAGTAGATCACTCTGTACGTGATGCCCTCACCATCAATCGAATGTAGATTCGTTGTAAAATATAAAGTGAAAGAAAGAATTACCTTCCTTTTCTCTTTTGTAGTTCATCATTTCCAAAGCTCACCCGGTGTCACCTTCAACGAGAATAGGAAAATATGCATTTGATAGGATAGCTCCTCAAGTACAATATCAGATCGACCACTTTCATTCGCAATCCATTGCTTCTTGCTCTTGATAAACAAAGTAACAAGCTCGATCGAATTATAACCACATTTGTTGGGTTTCAAACCATTTTTCGCATTATTCCATCGAAACGTTTATTCCCAGCACAAATGAGTGTTTTAAGCTCGAAATCTTTTCCAACAGCATGTGGGTTTTCGCCACCACCATTCGCGCCAGAAAACGTCACGATTGAATGCGTAGATTTCTTCTCCACGATGAAATTGACTTACAAATGCAACGAAAACCATGAACGTCCTTCAACGGGAAAGACTGAGGTTTCAATTGTATGCAATAATGGATCCTGGAATTCAGAAACAGGAGTGGAAGAAGCATGTAGCCCAATGCATTCGTGCACACAGGATCCCCCTCTTGTAATGAGGGCAGAAAGATCGTGGACGGGAAACCATTCGGTCCATGAGATTGTGACTTACACTTGCACCAACTCCACGTGGTTTCAGGAAACAAAGAACATTACATGGTATATCGAATGCCTACGGAATGGGACGTGGGAATTGGTTCCAAAGGAATGTGCTTACTACGAATGCCCTGGAGATCCAAAAGATGGGAACAACACGATTCGAAATTGGTCTCAGGGAAAAAGGGAAATTAACGCCACTGCAAAGTACACATGTAATGACACTATGAAGTTCGCGGTGAATAGAAGTCAACTGGATAACCAAGCCATTAACTACACGTCAACATATGATGAAGTCACAGAGATTGAATTAAAATGCTTGAACACAGGGGAATGGGAAGCAGCCGATTTTCAATGCATAATCAATGGCTGCTACGATCAGCCTCCATTACCACCTCAATCAGGATCAAGAAATTGGAACAATCAGGTCATTATAGGAACAGAAATAACGTATACGTGTCCAGAAAAATCAAGCTTCAATGCAACAACGACTTCTTTACAGAACCTTGGAATTGTCTTCAATATGACAGGGGGTGAGATTTCTTCAGTCAAAATAAAATGTCTCTCAGATGGTCAATGGCAGAAACTAAATCTCTCCTGCAAAAACCCACAATGCACAGAGAATCCACCCGAAGCCCCCATCGGGGGGAGTCGTACTTGGACTGGCGCGAATGAAATAGGAACCATTATTACATACACATGCCAAGAATACCACTCTTTCAATGTGTCTGAAAACGTTCTAAATGGAGAAAACATATCATACCAAACAAATGGCCAAGAAATTGTTCAAGTAAACATGACATGTCAAACGCAAGGAACATGGCAAACAATGGCCCTCTCATGCAAATTAGCACATTGCATCGCACCTCCTCCTGATATGACAACAACTGGCGTGAACCGTACGTGGAATGGATCAACTACAATTGGAACCACCGTCGCTTACACATGCCCACAAAATCAGGCATTCAATGTCTCTGAATCAATTCTCAGTGCAACTGGTTTGACTTACCACAAAAACGGTAGTGACATCATGGAAGTCAATATCACCTGCCTGGACAATGGAACATGGAGTAACATCGGCATTCCCATGGCTTGCAAGTTCACACGTTGCATCGCTGCTCCTCCAGACATGACTACTGTTGGTGTGAACCGTACGTGGAATGGATCAACTACATTTGGAACCACCGTCGCTTACACATGCCCACAAAATCAGGCATTCAATGTCTCTGAATCAATTCTCAGTGCAACCGGTTTGACTTACCGCAAAAACGGTAGTGACATTATGGAAGTTAATTTCACCTGCCAGGATAATGGAACATGGAGTAACATTGGGATTTCTCTCACTTGCATGTTCACGCACTGTATCGCAGCCCCACCAGACACTGTCGCGTCAGGTGCGACTCGTTCATGGAATGGGTCAACTGCTTTAGGTGCTGTTAGCGCCTATACATGCCCACAAGCTCAGACTTTGAACGTATCGGAAGACACTCTAAAGGACTCTCATATTGCTTACCGCAAGGAAGGAACGTATGTCGTCGAAGTTTTCTTGATTTGCCAAACGTCTGGATCATGGCAGGAAACAAATTTATCTTGTAAATGGACTCATTGCCAAGGTGATCCCCCTGATCTTCATTTGATTGGGGGTGAAAGGGTATGGAATAAGGATTCGGAGGTCGGAAGTGTCGTCTCCTATCGTTGTCCTAATGAAACTGGTTTTGCAGTCGAACCCCATTTCTTGGATGACCTTGGTTTGGCGTATGAAATGATTGGCGATAAAGTGAATATTGTAAAAGTTGAATGCCTGCCGGATGGTCAATGGCAAACTTTGAATCTGTCCTGTGGTCTTTCAATGTGCCATCAGTTGCCACCAGCGCCTCCTTTAGGAGGAAGAAGAACATGGAGTGGCTCCACGCAGGAAGGGACTATTATTACATACAAATGTCCACAATTCCAGGTTTTCAACATCTCTGGGGATCAGTTATTGGCGTCCAATATCATCTACCATGGAGACAATCAAAGTATCTTAGAAGTGGACATTGAATGCCTAAGATCAGGGTTATGGCAAAATGTACAACTAACTTGCAAATGGTCATTTTGTGTTCAAGGACCACCAGACGTTCCTCGCAATGGAGGACAACGTGAATGGAATAATGATACTGACGTTGGTACGGTCATCTCATACAAATGCCCAGAGCGTATCGGATTCGATGTTGATACCAAATACTTGACGCAACATGGCTTCCAATACGATGTGAACAGTGATGGAAATGTAATTTCCATTGATGTGATGTGTCTGTCAGATGGACAATGGCAGGGGTTTAATTTTTCTTGTCTTGAGACCTTATGTCGTCAAGATCCTCCGGCTCCTGCAAATGGAGGAACGAGAGTCTGGGATGGAAACAGGAAACAAGGAACTATCGTTTCCTATTCCTGTCCCGATTTGCAAGCCTTCGACCTTAGTGAGGACTACTTGAATCAGAAGTCAATCAAGTATATAAAGGCTAACGAGACGATTGTAGAGTTGCAAATCACTTGTGACGGTTTTGGAGCGTGGCAAGTGGTGGACCTCTCCTGCAAGCCTACTTATTGTACCGGGCAGCCTCCCAATGCTCCGCTAGGTGGAAGTCGTATAGAATCCTTGACGCCAAAAGTTGGGTCGGCGGTATCCTATCGCTGTCCGAAGAACATGGCATTCACCACCAATAAAGAGACACTTAATTCTTCCGGGATCATTTACACGGAGACGGACGGTTACGTGGTAGAGATCCAGTTGAAATGCACGAAATCTGGAGCATGGGAAACCGTGGACATGACCTGCAGGTGGAATATATGCGTTGACGACCCATCTCAAGCTCCTCCCGGGGGATCCAGGCAATGGAATGGAAGCAAGAAAGTCGGTGATGTTGCCAATTTCTCTTGTCCTGAGAATCACGCTTTCACTGCAGATACGGGATACTTGGCCAACATGGGGATACCCTATGAGGAGAGTGACGGAGATGTGGTACTCATTCAGTTCCAATGTGGGTCTGATGGTCGGTGGAAGGAGACGCCATTATCGTGCAAATGGACTCAATGCAACAACGATCCACCACCTCCACCCACAGGAGGGAGCAGGAACTGGCCTGGATCAAAGAAAGTTGGCACGGAAGCTACGTACACTTGTCCTCAGGCTTACTTGTTCAGGAACAGTCAGAGTGGATTAGTGGAAGCTGTGACAAAGAAATGTCAACCAGATGGAAGTTGGGAACCTCTAGATGAATCTTGTATATTGAAATGTCCGGTGGATCCTCCCCCGCCTCTCCCAGGAGGTCGTATGGAATATGACGAATCTGGGAATGCAGTCTATACCTGTCCTGACGATATGGGGTATCCCGATGGAAAAAAGAATCATATCCTGACATGCTCACAGAACACCTTGAAATGGGAAGGAGACGATTATAGGAGCTGCATCTGGTTGGTGTGTCGAGAAGATCCCCCGGAGACACCACTTGGGGGTTCTCGAATTTGGTCAGGGGATCAAACATTGGGAACTGAAATCTTATTTGAATGCCCAAATGATTGGAGGAAGGCAAGAGTGACGTGCAGCCCAGCCGGTAACTGGACAGAGCTTAACCTCGCCTGCAGTTCTTCCGGTAAGCCATGCTTGCAATTTCTATTTCCATCTTCCTGTATGACATCTTGACCAAGTGATTAATTTTACGATTCATTGACCTTGTGTGTCTTCCCATACCCTTACCCATGGTATGCGTGTGCATGGTGTGAATGGAGAATGATTCATTCAACGCAGTATCTTCAATGATTATTTCCTCTCCCTCTCCCCAAATGTGAAAGCGTTTTGTCTGAAAGTGTTTTGTCTGTTTTGTCCACTTGTTTTAGTAACGCAGACAGTAAAGATAAATATAGAGGAAGGAACTGCTATTTTTAAGTAAAAAAAGCATTTGGTTGCATTCCTATTGACGAATGCTACAAAGGATAATCGAAACATGACACGAAAGAAATTCCCCGGAGGAAAATTTTGGTAAGTTTAGCACGAGCTGGATCCACGCCAGGTGAGCTGTCTTCCTTGCCTCACTTTGCCTTTACCTTTCGAGTGTAGTTTTTAATCTTTTTATGCCTTTTTACTGGTGCTCCATGGTCGCCCCCCCCCCCTACCCCCATAACCCTAATTTATTGAGTCAGATCACTGCCTTCATTAGAAAGGACTTGACCAATGGCGTCTCCAGAGGCATTATGCTGACAACTCTATCCCGGAAAGTCAACGATGACAGCCAGAACTCCTTACCCAAAGGCGTTGAGCTCTAGGTGCCATCATTTTTTTATGCTTCCATGTTTCTTTTTTCACTTTTACGTGCGACATGTGTTTAACCTTGCAGGAAAATGAGAGACCAGAAGACTCCTGCCATTACCTTTTCTATAAGCTTCTGCTTCGAAGCTTACGAAATGAGAACCTCACCTGTCCAGATACTGCGCTTCCTAATAATTGTAAGTAAAAAATTGCTGCTGATGACGATAGCTATAGTAGTCTTAAGATAGCTATTGTAGATAGCTATAGCGGCTCAAAGTCGTTGGCCTGTTTTGCTATGCTCTGTATTTTTACTCTTGCTCGACCAGGAACGTACTCGTAGATGCTTCGTGTAATGAAAAACCTTCTACATGGATTCTGGACGTGGGAAGTATGCATTCTCCACGTATTAATACTTCAGAACAGCTCAATGTAAGGCACAAGATTTTCTCATCTTCATCATCCATTCACTTTCCAGGATGCCCATCCCCGCCTAATGAGGTTGCGGTTCAAGCAGGCCCAAGAGCATGTTATATGAGTCCCTGGCATAAAGTCTTCTAACGTTGACACTAAATGATGAGAGATTCACTCTTTAGTTGAGAAATGTGTCGTTCTCGGGCCTCACGCCGCAAGGGGGTGGATTAGCGATTGTGAATCAAAGTTTTCATGGAATTCAACATTTTGATTCCTTGAATCAGATGAAAACTGTTAATTCAGGTTCAGTATTTTGTCCATTCCTCTGTCCCTTGCAATCACCTGTCTCGTCGTAAGGCCTATTACGAGGCATTCCAGCACAAGTGATCAAATGGCGATTGCGGCGTCCGACAGGGATTTGCTTGAAAAATCCATGCATGATTATCTTTCTGATTTATGAATAAACTCAAATATTAACGCTCTAGCACAGTGGTTCTCAACCTTTTTAGGCTGCAACCCAAATGCTAGCTCGGCATGGTTATTATGAGCTTAGAATCCAGACTGCCGTTTGTTTAGCATTTAACAGATTGATACGAGGAAAGACATGTTTTGGTATCGTGAGTGACCTAGACTATAAAGGAAAGTTCAGACAGTCACTGGAGACCTTTGGCGACTCACTCAAAATGGCTTGGCCCAAATTAGGTCGCGACCCAGGGATTAAGAACCACTGCTCTAGCACAAACGGTTCCCAAGATATTCATTCCCGCAGTTAGCTTCCCTGAGGAAAAGTGATCCCACTGGTTAAAAGGCTATCTTTGACCCTAATCGAGTTATAACAAAAGAGTTTTTGAGCAGAAATGAATGCTGAGACAACGCTGAATCAGAACTCACTGTTGCACTGTTCTTTAGTTTTATTTACAAGGAACCTACGGATTTATTTATTTATTTTTTTTAATTCCAATATTTACATTAAAATTGCAATAATGGGAATCACAGTACGACAATGAGCTTTTGCAAAAGTCCAATACTAGCCATCAATTACATAAATAGTCCAATTTCAACTACAACAAGGTTTAAAACACACTTGGAAATTTAATTTGAAAGTCCAATTTTGCCATTTTAAACTCATTTAGACAACTTAATATATTTCTTGTTTCAAGCAAAATAAAAACTCGAAAGTTGTGCCAAATGAAAGCTCCTTCTAAGCCCTTTCCGTGGGTGTATCATCTATGCTGTTACTTTGAAATGTGAGCTCGTGGATTTTTTTTTAAGTTTAGAACTCACCATTTTTATCTTGAAATAATGTACCAAAATTTCCAAAAATAGGAATCCTGGTGACCTAGCCAAGTCGACACTTCGACAGAGACCACAAACAGCTTTAGTTCCTTTTTCGCACTCCGTTTCAGGCATCAGCGAATTAAAATGTGAAATGAGACCAATCTCTGTAATTCCTTTTCTTCTTTAACCGTTTCGGACTAGGTGCAAGCTTGAAAGAAATGGCAGTGACTTTAATACTACGTGGTGTTGAAAGTCGAATCACTTCTTGAGGTTTAGCGTTTAGATGTGCGTGTAGATTTACACACGAAGAAAAGACAAGTCCATTGTGATACAGATTCAAGTCACTGAGAGATAGCAGTAGAATTCAGTGCCACTTGACAAGTGTAGACCGAGATCGTTAATCACTTCCACTAGTTCAGTATTTTGAATAGAATCTGTATTACATCTCGAATCAACATCTTTCAGCCTCTTGTAAAAAAAAAGTTGGTCCATTCCTCGTTGGAATAAAATTGCTTCCCTCGAACACTTTCATATCTGTATTTAAGTCAAGATCGGAGAGAAATCCATGCATTTGCGAATTTGCGAGAATTATTTAACTGACAGCCAGAGGGCTTCATTCGGAGTTCAGCCGCCCGGAATAGTGTCCACTGGAATAGATTACAGGGCGCAACGTCACGAGAACCATGAGACGGCACGAGAGAAACATCTGAAAAGTGGTGTCCATTTGAGTGGACGGTCTGAAAGGGTCGATGGTCCAAATACATTGAGTTGAAGGAAGGGGCTTAAAGGGGGATGAGCTGGTACGTCCATCTTCATCTCGTGCGACGTTGCTGCGGTGATGTGCGCCGAGTGAGGACGTGCATCGTCGTACAGAAACAAAGCACGAAAGGATGAGATCATTTGGGAATTGAGGGGAACTTTCCATCGGGAATTTTTTCCCTTCGAGGAATAGACCGTCGGGTTTCCCCCGCCCTTCGGGGAAGTTTCCTTTCGAGAAAAAAACCTTCCAGCGATAAGACCGTTCTGGGAAGGCCCCCCTCTGGGAAAATTCATTTCTAAGTATATATATTACGGGGAAGAAACCGATCCGGATATTGTCTTTCGGGGAAGAGTCCGTGAATCGGATTCTGGGTGCGGGATTCATTATTATTTTGCTCTCTGCGTTGGCTATATTCCGTTTTCAGCTTTTATATTACAAATCTGACCTTCACAAGGGCATAGCCGATGCGCACAAAATACCACATTATTGTGTTCTTTTTTTCTCTTAGCCGAGTCGCACGCGGATGGGATTTTCAATTCGTCAAGGACCTGGATGTAGCAAACATGCTAATGAGGTGAAATGCGACTGCTTGCGTGGTTCACGGTCATCACAGCACATTTGTTTGGTGAATCCTTTACAGAAATAGCGAGACGAGGAGGATGCTCGATGCTCGACGTAGACGCAGATGAAGCGTCAAATGGCAGGCAACTAATCTTTTCTACTGAAAATTGATGTGCGAGAAGTTACCAGTTCGTGTCGTCAACAACATAAAAAATTCTTCCATTCCGGCCTAATGTGGTTGATTCACAGATGGGGAAAAAAAGGAAAAGAAAAGTTGCAGGGGACTATGTGGAAATGACACGTGTGAACTGTGTCAATGTACAGTATCTGGAACGTAATTTTCCGTATAAAAAAAGTCCCTATACTTCAGGAACGACCTTCGTATATAAAACTTAATTCGGTATGGGTCTAATCAGGAATGTGGTTCAGTGAATGATTTAGGGCCCTCATCGCGTGTCACAAGTAGCCCTTGCCAGGAAAAGGCGAGAAAGGTGTAGAAAACCGCAGTCAGCGTCACTAGCGGCTCGATAAATGATTGATATGGCCCTCCTCGCCCGCCCCAAGTGTGTTGCTGGCCCCTTCTGCACAATTCATCAATCACTTATCCATCTCGAACTGCAGATTGCCATTGGTAATTATCTAAACGAGCAAGCGGCAGGTCACACCCCCCAATCTTGAATATGGGAGAGATCGAACGGAACTTTCTTGTTCCAAGGTCAGCACAAACCCCCCCCCCCCCAAGTCCGTTTTCCTCCTTTGAATAGAGCGAAAGGGCACTTCGTTTCAGGATCCCTTTGTTTGGAATCTCATGGAAATAGTACACATTTATACCATCTGATAAAGATTTTATTTTCAGTCAGTCTTTCTTGGACAGGCTATCGTGGCCATTTTGACGGCACACTGATCTAAACAATCCGCTTATTGAATTAAATACCCCCTGCGGTTTTAAATTGGTTTCATATCTGCGAGATATTATGCCAATTAAAGGATATTAAACCAAGTCTTCCCATCTTCAGAAGAATAATAGCCCACATCCTGAACGGTCACAAGGCATTACTTGCCTCGATTCGAGAACCAAAAAAATGAAATTGTGCTGATTATGGGTCAAATCTAGTACAACTGGTGTAAAACACAAAATAAATGATCAGCTTATTGAAGTACGAGCAGTACATCCTATAAGTTTAATTTAAAATACGGAGCACTTCCTCATATGATCTCAGACTTTTTTTTTTTTTTACAGAGGGTGCGGTGATTACTCCCGTCTATCTTCTTATTAGCTTTTGTTAAGTCCTGCGAATCCAAGAGTAGAAAATCCTGAAAAGTGTTCGTTTCTATCATTTCCTTTGCTTGAGCGAATTGGAAACGGCTAACGAGAGCAGAATATTTATTATGGGGAAGGAAGAAAACAGTTTGCCGCATGCAAGCAATCTGAAAAGGGGGGAAGTCAGTTGAACAAAGAAGATGCAGTTCGGGTGTCATGTGATTCTCATCCTTTTGAAAATCGTAGTTTTAAGCTAGAGCCGTGAAGTGTTATACTACTTACTGAATGGTGGAAACAAAATCAATGTTCCTCGCAGATGGGGAGCGGCGTTTGGAAAGACCCAAGACAAGAAGGAATGATGTAATTGGAGCTTTTCAAGGAATCAATTGGATTTGAGCAGGCCAGGAGAGAATGAAATGCAATATACGGTACATAAAGAGACCTTCGTTTAGCAGTGAACAAAAAATGGCAGATGATGAAAATGGTTCAGGAAATGGGAAATGTCGAAACTTATTTCCTTAGTCAAAGAGACCTTTTCCATCAGCTTCCTAATCTTCTGATCTAATGCGTAACTGCCCTTTTGATGCACAGCAAATCGATTAGGTACTGTTAATACGGGGAATGCATTAATGCCTGATGTGAAAAGCGCAGTACCCGTCCCTATGACTCCCAAAGGGGAAATCGAAGGAGAATATAAAACTTTGATGACCGTTGTTCCTGCGTGCTGCACACAGAAGTCGACCATCGCCATTCACTTTCCGACTGCCCCGATAAGAATCCCCATGGGAGAATGGAGATAGGAATCCGATCATGCGATCGGCGAGGACTTTCATTTATTTACCTAATGTCTGGGAGGATATAAGGTAAATAAAGGAAACCTAGACCTCCTACCCCTTTGGCGGGAAGTGTTTTGCGAAAGTTTAAGGAAGTTGTAAGAATTGTTTCGAAACGAACGTCTGCGTGAATTCAGGCATGGGAGAGTCGATTATGTTATGTCTTGGGAGTAGCCATGGTGCCTTTTCCCGGCGGTGCTAGAAAGAAATTTTCACATTTTTCATTAGAGCCGAGAATGTTCCATTCAATCAATTCAATTTAATAATAAAACAAGAATGGGTCTCCTGTTTTAGCACAATAATTTATTGCCTGTGCTGAAACGCTTCTTTAAAATTTCATTTCAGTCCCTCGGAGTGACTCCATAGATGCACCCGACCCAAGGAAGGTGAAAATCATTTCCCAGAACTTCTGAACCGGAAGATCCCTTCGCAACGGTTCCGCCATCGCTTACGAATGCAAGCATGCAAGGTTGCCTCCTCAGCAAAGGAAAGAATCAATCAGCGAAGATAGCGATGGGACCTCGTTGACTTGGCCTCCCATGGGCGTTAACTTCTCCTTCATACTTCAAGGCAGGGCGCTCAGGGTGCTCGATGAGAAACTCCTGAAGGCCTTTTTCTTGCCTTTGCTAAACTCTGACCTAAACCTAATCTGAATAAAATTCTAACCCGGAGTCATAACACCGTTATGACTCCGGGTTAGAATTTTACAGAACCTGGACGTAAATGTACGTCTATTGCTAGCTTCTCCTTGTTTTAGACTTGTATTCGATTAGATTAAGATTAGAATTAAGACTTAGCACACGCGAGGAACACGTCTTGCGTTTGATAACACCTTCATGATATTCTTATTGGAATTTCGATTCATAAAAACGAGGGATCTAAACCCTGCTGAACTTTTAGAGACTTAGAAACATGAGCTAAAGGAAAACATATACGATAAAAGTATTTTTTTTTTCGGAACAATTTACAGTTCTAACATGAAGTTCATAAAAACACGAGATTCAGACTGCTTGCATTTTCAAAAGGTTTTTACAATTAGTTTCTGAAATGAAGTGCTATCGATGCTATCGAGACAGAATTACAATATCTCTATTAGGCCTATGCTATAGAATTACCCAATACTTGTCAAGTATTCAGCAGAGAGTTTTTTAATGCTTGGTTTTCATCCCATCCGCAGACTCCAAGTTGAAAATCAGACGCTGATCTCCATGAAGTTTCAAGATACAATTGAGATCAACTTTGAGACGAAGCCATTTTGTTGGTATGCGTATGGGTACTCCTTGGCATATGCAACCTCACAATCGCTCAATCGGCTTCCCTCGCTAGTCTTGATCACTCATGTTGCAATGGGAAGACAATTTCACGGGATGCAAACCGGTGACATGCCGAGCTGAGCCTCTTGAATACCTCGTGGTAGTACCCAAAGTTGGCTTTAGGATCGGAAGGTGGGATTCGGAGTCTTCTACGAATGCCTTGGACTTGAAGAAGGCAACGGTGACATGCCATCCATTCGGCAATTGGACTGAAACTGATCTGTCCTGCTCCAGTTCAAGTAAGTCTTGCTTTCCAGCGTAATTTTCATCATCTCACACGTCAACTTGTCAAAATCATTCATTCCACTATGAATCAACCGTGTTCCCCTTTCCTTCCCAAGAGCGAGTGCATTTCGCCTGAATGACATTAACCCTTCCTTTCCCAATACACTTTCGTCACTCCGTTCCTCTCCCCTCCTTTACTTATTCTGTTTGTATGAATGCCTTTTTGTGTGATAATCCACGCGTGATTACTTGAAAACGAGATGGCGGACAGAAACACAATTTAATCGGATCCAAGAATGGCAGTTAAATGCTTTTCTTATATTTGGAGTTATGCAGATCGCGGAGGAGACGACAAGGTGAATCCCATGCAATGTGTATTCAAGGGAAAATAATGCCTGTAAATCCCAACCAAGAAAAGCACCTTTTGGGACACCCGGTATATGAAAGGTTCGCCGATTCAAATGCTTCACGATTATAAGCTTCATGATTACAGAAGGTCCGAAGCCTTTTTTCATCAAAGAACTAGACAGTTCGTCGCAGAACTCGACTATGGTAGCCCTGAGGATTCCAAGAAAACGTTCTTCGACACCCGATCAGGCTCACGTGCATCACTATTTATTATCTTTATTTTCACCTTCTTCTGTAGTAACAGTAGAAGAGTGCAACCAAAATACAGATAATTAAAACTGTTACAGCAATCCCAGTGGGCCATTGCTTGGAGCGTGTGAACTGGACGGTCTGTGTGGTTTACCCGGCTTGCGCCTGGGGGAATCTGCAGCGGCATCACTCCGTTCAGCGATCTGAAAAATTCAAGTCCGAAGTTCGATGTGAATCACGTATGATGCAGTGATGTACATGTACAAAGATATTATGACATGTTAAATGGAATGCATTGAAAACAGAACGAGTAGAAATAAATTTTCGTTCGGACTGATACGCATGTACAGTATTGTCCATTTCTGTGTCATGAGGATTGCTTGCTCCTTGTAGATGAGAAAAATCCATAATCTATATCCGTTGTTATGCCTTTACAAGATAATGCCACACAAAAACTTCCTCCGCATGAAATAAAAATGTTTCATTGTAGAATCCCATCATCCTTTTTGAAGTAATGCTAATATCTGAAACCTTTTACAACTATAGTGGAGCTATAGTCGCCTATTAATTCATGGCTCCTTCCAAAAGCATGCTTTCAGCAATGCCAAGACCAATTAGCAATCAGTCTTGGAAGAAAAATCAGTGTAAGGATGGCCTCATAAAAATGCCGAAGAGCCTCCAAATTTTTATTCAAGCTTAAAATTTTTCTGTCCTTTGGCTTCGGATTCTCGCTCGTGTTCTTCGTCAAAGAATTTTCCTGGACTGCGTTAAGGTGATGGAGAAATCTGGGAACGTCTAGTATCTATTACGCAGGCGTGGAAGATGGCGCGAATTTCATTTTACTTTTAGGAATGACCTCAGACTGCGCCTGAGTAGAAACGAGATGATTCGGTCTGTTTTGCACTCACCTCATCGACCCAGAAAACGGGGAACACCATGTTGGGAAAGTTTTCGAAGGTTTTGTAGCCTTCGATTTTTCGAACCTTTACATTGGTCTGGAGCTTCTTGCTTGATCGGATGAGGAGCCCAGTCGTCTAAAAGAAAATGTGGAAAATGATTGTTGCAATTAGTAGGAAGTAATTTTAGGTGAAGCTACTCTAGTCTCAGAATTGAATAGTTTTTGCTCCTCAAACCGGTTCTATATCGATGAATGTTTCGTGGGAATCCTTGTGGGGTGCGATTCCGTCGATCAGGGATTTATTCAACCCGTTGTCCCCACCCTCGTCGGGAACATAGAAATGAGGCAATGACATGACGACAGGTTTACCTGAAAAAAAAAATCCAGCAATGCGTTAGTCTGCACGAGCACAAATTTTTAAACCCTGACATATCTCTGCACTTGTTACCGTCGAAACACCGCGAGACGTCGAGAAGCCCAGCCGGAAGACATTCGTGAACACAGAAGCAGGCGTTCTGGGCGAGCGTCCGCAGACGCTAGGGCGTCTGGATGCAACACGAATCGACGCCCTGGGATGCCCCGGAATTCCACCTCCCTTTCGTACCTCAATTGCACGGATCTGGAAGGAAGGCGGAAGTCAGGATCATGCGAGTCGTTGCCGCTGTTATACAGGTTTATGCTCATAGGTGAGCTTATGTGTGTACCGTCCACCGTGACTGAACAAAGTTGTAGTTCAGTTAGAGGAAACGTTGGGATTATATCGACGAAGCCAGCCAATCACGATTACGCAGTTCTCAAGCAAGTGAAACTTTAATCAATAGGCGCGGTAGCGCCCATTACCTCTCTTCAACCCCTTCCAGCGAAAAAATTCAACTGTCTCGTATTCCTCTGAGAGAATGAACAGGAACGAAATCTGACATACTTCTTCCTCTCTCAACACAGAATGGCTCCAGAAATTTTGAAGCTCCATTTCCCCGGGGATCACTGAATCTCGCATTTCGGAGATGTCGATTATTAGATGAATTAATGTGAAAACTAATTTTCAATAGTTTCACCTTTCTTCAAACTCAACCCCCCCCCCCCTTCTCTACGGAACTCACTAATGTCAAGCCTAGGCCTAACCGACGGACTGTCTTCGGATTATGCCTAGGTCTACCTTTTTCCGTTCAAAAGAAACTCAATTCTCGACCAACGGACCAATTTGGCCTATAAGGATGAATCCCTGGTCTTCGAGACTCCTCGTCGAGGACGTGTAACGTTAGGCCAATCGCAGGCCTTTTCAGTCTCTCGTGACCCATTTAACAGAGAGCGTATAACGTTAGATTTATGATGAATGTAGGTCTATTTCGAGTTTCATGAACCAATTTGATGCGGACGAGGGACGTTAGGCCTACCCAGAGTTCCTCGAACTGTCTCGACTCGTTCCAAGAAGAAAATGCCTTTAGAAAGCATTACAACACAAGCTGGCCGCCATTCTGTTACTTTACGGTTGTCCAAATGAGATATCTCCACATCCCACCAAAAATCGATCGGCCACTACTAGCCACCATTTCAATCTCAGCTCCTCTAATGAACTCGACACATAATTATCTTCCACAAAAAAAACTATAGATGATCCCGACACCGATATCAAGGCCGAAGAAGTCATGAATCTGGGATAACTAAGGCACGATATCCGGCAACACAGGAGGCCGGGGCCGGAGCCATCACGCTAAGCCTAAATTAACGGCATCTAATTTCATTTTTATGGCGAAATGGTGTACTGGAAGCAACAAAAATGACACTTTTTTTCACCTATGAGTCAATATCTTTCGTCTCGATTGGTCTTTTTCCTCCGAAAACTTCCCACGAGTGGCTGTTCAGGGGGGAGAAAAAAAATACCAGAACGAAATTCACATCGAAAAGCGAGATTCAGTGATCTCCACAACCCCAGGGAGATGGAGCTTCAAATTTTTTTAAAGAGCGATTCTGTGTTTAGAGAGGAAGAAGTAAGTCAAATATCTTTCCTGAATTTTATCGCCGGAAGTGGTAGAGGAAAGGTAATGGACGCTACCGCGCCCATTGATTTCTCAGATGGAGCCACACCTCTCTTCGCACCGAGTCACGGAAAGGAGTCGACAATGGACATCCATCTAAGTCCATTCCGCCACGAACTGCCTTTCTTGTTGAACGGAGTAGGAGAAGGATGGCCTGCGTGCCAGTGAATTAAGGACTGTGTGCCGCGTCTCGGAAATACGGGTCGAGTATCTGCCACTGGAAAAAGAATTCGTTCTAATCCTGAGCCGAAGAAGTCCGTTGGTTTCCCCTAAGGCTTCCTGCCGGACTGCGGAAGGGGTTCCCTGTCTAAAGACTGTGACGGCAGTCATTGTGCCTATGGCTATTAGGCGACCCCTTCCATTCCGAATCCTGTGATGAGAAAGGGACCTTTCCCCATGTGTCAGCAGTAAGAAGACCCTTTTAAAAAAAGCATGACTTTCACATCTCTTTCTAATTTTGTTTCCCCTCTAGGGCCAGTACTCATCACTTCCCTTAACTCTCATACCAATGAACTCAATACGATCCTATGCAACATATCTTATATGCAGCCATGATACGTATCATATGATACCCGGCGTAGGAGCTTCTGAGTGCCCTTAAAGGCATTCTACGGGAATGAGAGATCCAATTGGAATCACAGGAGAGAACATCTATCGGAAACCATTTTGGACTTTATATGTAGGAAAGCATGATTCCAATAGGAACCAATGAGTTTCCAATAGTGATCCTATAGATCCTATTGAAGATGTAAAAAAACTCCTCATAGGATTATGCAAGTCTAATTAGGGTCCGACGTGTTTCATGTTGGAACCCTAAAGGTCCTCCAGAAAACTTAGAGGATTCCTTTTAGGTTCTCTCATAACTTAACGTAGTACATACCTTCGCATTTTGGCTAATCCTAATTGTTTCTAAGCCATAGCAAGGCATCACACTTAAAGATTCGACTTTTGTGCCTATGCAGCCGGACCTCGGAACGAATGGGCATAAACATACTCTGTCTGGGCCTATCGAAGGAGAAAATCCGCCCCAGTGGGAAAGAGCCAGACGTTGGGAACGCGACAGAATAGTGGAGAAGGAATTTGGATGAAGGAAGGTGCAAACCAAAAGTTGCCCCCAACGGGCCAAACCTCACGATGAAGGACATCGAGAAGCAGAGATGTACCCAAGGCCAAAGCCTTAATAATTGCAGCCCGGCCACGTTGAGGAGAGCGGAGGGGCGTGGATCGAGGAATTGGTGCACATCCGCCAAGGACGAGGAAACTCAAGTTGCAACACGGCTTGCGTCTTCGCATCCCATCGATAAGTGACGTTGCCAGAAGTCTCTTATTTTGCACGTCCAATGAGTGAGATTCGGGACTGTTAAGCGTCACTAACGTGGTAAATAAACGCGTCAATGATGGCATGATGATTCTATCACCGGAGATGGGAATCGAGTGGGATGTCAAATAAATCATCCTCCTGGGTTACACGATCGCAAGGAAACACAATCTACTTGAGTTATTCTTGTGCGCTCTATTTTGGATTCGGACCCTGGCAAGATGTTATCGATGCAACGTGAAATATGTGTACGCGACTGGCACCCAGCGACGGCAAGTCGATGATGGGACGATGTAATGGATCGTTGGTCATTTTTTCGCGACAGTCCCATCCATAATAGCCGACGCATTGCATGCAATAAATGTAAATGATAAAAAATTCAGGTCGCGCACAGTGGATAAAATATCATAGTACAAAGGACGCCAGAAAGGAAGATGGAAGGAATTTTCATGGCCTGTCAAACGCCCTCCCGACACCCTCTCGACACCCTCCCGACACCCTCCCGACACCCTCCCGACACCCTCCCGACACCCTCCCGACACCCTCCCGACACCCTCCCGACACCCTCCCGACACCCTTTCGATGCGTGCGGCGAAAAAGATGAATAGGCGCAAGTGTGTGAAGGCATGCCCCTCGTTGTTTATGCACGAGGGAAGCCCACGGAAGAATCAATCCCGATCAATAACGTTCCTCCGCTCGGTATACACCCGCGTCCGAGTGAATTACTGTTACAGAACGGTTTCGATGGCGGAGGGACGAACGCGTCCGTAGCTTTTTTTGGGTCTCGTCATGACGGGGACCGAGAAAGACGAGAAATTACCCTCTGGGGCTCGCATCGGGGGCGTCACCGGGCTTTTGATCAGGTAAGCATTTCCTCCAAATTAATCCTGGTCTTTTTTTATTGCAAAATGTGAACACGAAATATCTCGTAGATGGAAGGGGAGCATCTACAAACTGATCGGATTGGACATCATCGTCTGGCTCCTTTTCTTCTACACCTTCAGTTGCGTCTATCGATTTCTATTGAATGGGGAGCAAAAAGAGTGAGTGAAATCCTTCTCATTACTTTATTAATTTTTTCTTCCGAAGCGCAACTGTAACGTGACACCCAGTCTGTCTCACTCGGCTTCCACGAATATAAGAATCAGGGAATTTTTTACGTTCGCAGCGTGTTCCAGAAGGTTGTGGTTTACTGCCGTGACTTCACGAACAACATCCCGCTGACGTTCGTCCTTGGCTTCTACGTTACCACGGTCCTTAATCGGTGGTGGGGGCTGTGGAATTCCCTGCCCTGGCCGGATGACGTCATTCACTATCTCACCACTTACCTCAATGGACAGGTACGAAATGTTGTGGTATCGGGCCTTACCGGCCCACTGTTTAATGCATTCTCGTCCCTTCGCATCTTGGCGAAGAATCGTGAAGACCCCTAAAAACACTTTTAAAATCCAAAATTGCACCATTTAATTTCATGGTCGACGGATCATGTTTCAGGTGCAACTGCATTGTGTTCTATGATATGGCCCGATCATCGGAGAGGCCATTAATTTACGTAAGCAGTCCAAAATCCCAAGGTACGAACAGCGTGAGAATTGTTTTGGACGAAATCCCAAGAGGACACCGAGCGTAATGCTGAAGATGAGTTCTCTCGTAAATTTGAATTCGTGGTATCGCAGGTGCACAAATAACTATCGAGATAATGTTAAATGCATGGCCTCTGGGAATCAGGTAAAATTGTGTACAGAATCGTGTATTTTTTTTCTGCAGTTGAGAAATTCCAACAACCCTACCGTCATTGTGATAGCTCTCAATCGCATGGATTGCGGGAAAAAGATTTAAAAATTGACTGGCCTTGGAAATGCTGAAATCTGTAGTTCGACGTGGCAAAATGCCAAGGAAATTTAATGTTCTGCGAAACTTGAAGGCAGATGTTCCCGAAGATGCTCCCATCTGCAGGGTTCCCTTTAACCTCTTCAGACCCGACGGCTAAGTTGCATGCCGATATTTAAATCCATCGCCCCGTTGCCTGAGCTCCACCTCCGATGGGCAAAGCAAGGAAGGAAAGTCTTTTTTTTTGTCCTTTTTGATATCTGAGAAATAGAGTGGGATGTGTACATACCACCGGGGTTTTCCTCCATAGAGGTGCGCGATCGGCAACCTGCATTTTTCGACGTTGAAATAAGCTTATGGAAGCCAGTAATCATAGATCATTTTTGAAAATGTTTCTATGCCCTGTCACCGTCATTGCGACAACAATAGTAGTAATTAGGCTCGACGGTATTTCGAAAATACCGAAGCACTGCGGTACTCAAGACTCACCACCCCACTCGCTAGGGAGAGGTCAGTAATCCCCTGCACTCTTAAAAAAGCGTGAGCTATTTCCGAGTAAGGGAGTGAAACTGGAGTTAGCAATTTTACTCCCTAAAAACGAGAAAGTACAATCGATAATCACTCTTTTAAACGAACAAAATCCATAATTTTTTTAAGAGCGCGAAACGAAGGAGGGAGAGTACTGTTCAAACTAGTAGAAAAACTTTATTGAAAAAGTGGTTATTATCAGGAAAGAGAGAGGTGGGCGTCTTTACTCCCTTGTTTTGGGGGAGTAAAATCGCTAACTTCAGTTTTGCTCCCTTTCTCGGAAATCACTCACTCTTTTCTAAGAGTGTGGGCCCTCCGTAATGCTCCGTAACGTAATGGTTCTCACATTTTCAAGTATCCAGAATGTGAAGAGCACAGCAAGAATGTGCTTCCTTAGGTGGTAACGAAGCGGAAGGCACTGCCTGCGTATATGTACCTGGATGCTGCCTCCCCCCTCCCCCCCTCCCCCCTCTTCCCTTCCCCCGGAACCGCCACTGTCCATGTCTTCATCTTTCTGGTCTTCCTCTTGGCTTTCGCCAGCCTGGCGCATGAAGGACTGGACCACATCTCACGTAGATCGATGAGGGAGTTCCCTGTATCGTATCCGAACCGATGAGGGAGTTCCCTGTATCGTATCCGATCCGATGAGGGAGTTCCCTGTCATTTGACCTCGAAACGGAAATTTCCCGGCGCAATGCCTCGTGGCACGTCTCCATCCCATCGATATTTTGTCTCATCCCATCAGAGCTCTATAACGAATACGGCTATCCCTTTATTTCTAAATAGTTTCCCACACTATTCGACGATGCAGTTCAACGTGCATCCTAATCGTGAGGTGACTGACAAGCGATCGACAAGAGCTGTTATGGTCGAAGCCGAGGCGGGCGACCGTATTCGCAGACGTACCAAGTTCAGAAGCCCCTGCTGTAATGCAGACCGAGTCCAATGAGACCCGTCCATTTTTTTCAGGATTTTTTCCATTTTTTTTTAGACTATGCCTCGCAGCGTGATCCATGACGTAGATGCGATTCGAAAAGGAGTTTAAACATTTTGATATTTGGCATTCTGAAGAGGTTAATGTCACGGTATTGCCTCGTTTCACGCCAGACGTGTTCGAGTATAGGCCCAGGTCCAAATTATAAACGGAATGTGTGATATAAGAAACGAATGCGATTTTTATCATGAATGGTAAGTGCCTGAAAATAAGTAAGAATCGCTACTCACGAATGAGATAACCTATTTTCAACGTCTTACGTCTTCGTCCGCGACTCTTAAAAAGTCCTATTTTCTGGATTTTTATCACCGGTACCTGCCACATCGAGGCCGTTCCATCCGTATCCGTTTATGCCACAAGTCTGCCGGCCGGCCCGTTTCGCGGCACTCCGAAAGCACTCGAAGCACTGGGGATCCCAACGAAGCACTGGGGATCCCAGCCCAGCGCTTTGCGGAAGCACCGAGAGGGGCACGGCAAGGTCCACCCGAATCCGTGGAGTTGTTCTTGGTATGAAGGTGTGCGTAGCCGCTTTAAATATTGGCTTTCTTTCTCTCCCTTCGGTGCTTGTTCAGTAGATGCAACGTAAACGTAACTCCACTTTGCTGAGTTCCGTGCAGATGTGCCTCGAGTACTGCGATGACTTCAGTTTTCCTGAAGTTACTTTTCGATACCAGCGTACTAAGATCGTACTTGCGACCTCGAACGGTCACCGGCAGTGTGGGGCACGTGCAAGTTTCAACAATTTCTTTGTTTTTGCTCCGTGCCCAAAGCTGTCTGCTACTTCCTCGAAGGAACGTTTGTTTCAGTGCTCGTTCAGGCGCCGAAACGTGCAAGATTCAGACTCTCGCGGCGAAACGAGCCCGGGAAAACTCCCTCCGGTCATTTAGACGACACTTGCACCCGTAAAACGAACACGATTAAACTCATTTTTGCGGATGCCGTGGTCTCGAGATCGGAGTCGATCTCGTAGAATCCGATCGATGCATCATCGCGAGCTGCGTTAGCCACCGGTCGTTCTTTCTGCGGAGCGCACGAAAGCGGGCGTCTCCGGGATACGCACGGAAATAAATGTCCGGTCGGTGCAAAGGCCACCGAACGCTTCGCGCCCCGACCGGAGAGAAGCTCCAGCCAATCGAGACGGAAGACGCAGGATCCGAAGCGCGTACGTGCAGAATCGCGCGAGTGCGAGGAGAGACGGCTGCTTTCGGCGTGGAATCCCCTCTTTGGCAGTCGGATGGCAGTCAGAAGGCAGTCAGATGGTAGTCGGATGGCAGTCAGATGGCAGTCCGACCGAATCCAGCGCGAGGCAGCTTCCCGATTCCCACGCTCGTTAAATGCGTTCGGTGGTGTCGTCCGCCGGATCGGGTCGTCCGAGACGGTGTCGGCAATTCATTTCTCGGTCTCGGGAGGGAATCCGGAAGGGATTCCACCCGAAAGAGTTGCACCCCGAGGCAAGACGAGTCCATCTCAACTTCGTTTTCCCTCATCGGTCCATGAGTTTTACCCGAACGGTAAACCACGAGTTCGGTCTCCATACGGGTCGAATCATCCCCTACGCAATATTGCCCAAATTCGAGGCCCACCCACGCAACAGATGATTGCCGAGGCGAAACGCCTCCCTCGGGACCATCTCGCATCGAGCGAATAAAGACCGCTAAACGCACACGATACAGGACTCTACGACCGACCGGGAATCTCCCTCCGTCGGACCCCACAGAGACCCCACAGAGACCCCACAGAGACCCCACAGAGACCCCACAGAGACCCCACAGAGACCCCACAGAGACCCCACCCACCACATCAATCGACGGTGAAGCAATCGACGAACCGCACGTCGATGGGCGGGCCTCCACGTTTCAGCAAATCGACGAAGGGCAACTCGAGGGAAAACGTGTTTATCGTTTAGGATGTCGATTGCGTGACGAACGCCAGTTCGTCATTGCGACCCATTTTCTTTCTCGAACGATCTTTCCGTTCGGGAAAAAAAAAATCCAATAGCGATGATGACCGATTAAAAATGGAAGACGCTGATCCCTCCGACTTTCACGTATTTCCTGCCTGTTCGGTTACTGTGGTGATACGAGTGGTTACTATGGTTACTTTCGTGAAGCGGTGAAACCAATTTTATTTGCAACGCAAAGCAACTTTTAAATAAATTTCCGGGAATGCAACTGAAAAGCACGCATCTCGATTCCCCGAATCCGAAAGAAAAAAAAAAAAAACCTCAGATGAAGAATAAGAAACCGCAGATGAACCGACCTTCTTCCCCGAATCCCCAAAGTCTCCATTTCCCCCCCACGTTTCCCGAACCGGCGGAAATCCAAATTCGCCAGGCGACGACCCATCTCGGTCGAGTCTGTCACACTCGACACGAATTAACTCTTTAACCGAGAGCCGTAAAAAAAAAAAAATTTTGGAGGAAATGAAAGGTTTTCACTCCTTTTACGACACGAAAACCTCTCGCGACCGGAAAAATTTCTTCTAACGGAGAAGATCCTCCAAAGAGCAACTTTTTTTTTTCTTCTTTTTCTCGCATTCTCCTCGGTTAGTGTATTTGTACTTAGTACTTAGTGCTTTGTACTTGTTCGTACTCGGTAATTTGAAACGTCTGAAAGGGACGAGTTGGAAGAGCCTTGCGTGAGCGTGGACGGGAGGGGCAATTCATTCCTCATTAATAATGCTTAATTGTTCTTAATGGCCGTTCTTAATAGCGGTAGAGCAGACAGAATGACCCCATTTCCCCGCCAAAAAAAAAATAAAAATAATAATATATATATGTAGAAGACTTTTCCCTTTATTGCGTATTTATCGGATGAGATCGAAAGCGAAAAGGAAAACGTCGAAGACTTTCACAAAATCGTTCTTTTTTTTTCGAGTGCGACGGACCGAAAAAGTCTCGCCGGCTGAAGAGAATCTCGCAAACTCATTTCCTCGATTGCAGCTTCGAATATTTGAAGGAAGAAAAAAGAAACGGCAGATGCGGCTGGG